TGTGGGGGGCAGGGTAGGGCAGGGGAGAGCAATGGGGGGGAAATGGGGACAACTGTAACTGAACAACAATAAAAAATATTTTTCAAATAAGAGTTCCCATGTCTTCACATCCTTGTCAACACATGCAACTTCCTTAAAAAAAAAAAAAATTCTAGCCCTGGCTGGTGTGGCTCAGTGAATTGAGCATGGGCCTGTGAAGCAAAGGGTTGCCAGTTCGATTCCTAGTCAGGGCACATGCCTGGGTTGCAGGCCAGGTCCCCAGCAGGGGACACATGAGAGGCAACCACGCATTGGTGTTTCTCTCCTACTCCTTCTCCCTCCCTTCCTCTCTGTCTAAAAATGAATAAGTAAATAAAAATTTTTTTTAAAACTTCTAGCCATCCTGGTGGGTATGAAATAGTACCTCGGTGTGGTTTTGATTCGTGTTTCCCCGAATGACTAAGAGTGTTGAGCACTTTTTCAGACGCTGGTCGGTCATTTGCGTATCATCTGCAGGGAGAGGTGTCTTCAAGTGCTTTGCCCTTTTTTAAAACTGAGTTGCTTGCCTTTCTGTCATAGAGATACAGGCATTCTTATATCGTCAGGGTACTAGACCCTTAGCAGTTACGTGAGTTTAAAAGATTTTCTTTTCACTTTACTGGTCATGTCTTTTGATGCACGTAGGTTTTTCATTTTGATGGAATCCAGTTTGTCTCTTTTTTTCTTGTGCTTTGGTGTCATATCTAAGAACTCATTTCAAATCAAAGGTCTTAAAGTTTTACCCCTAATTTTTTCTTAGAATTTTGTTGCTCTAGCATCCATATGTATATGTGAGCCTGAGTTGCATTACAAATGAATTTTCTCCTGAACTGTCCTTTCCCCACCACCAGACGTCCATGGTTCCTGCCAGGCCAATGGCAGTGCGTCCATCTCCATCCAGCCGCTCTTGGCTCAGGTCTCTTTCACCACCTTCCACCGCCCACTGCTCATGCAGACACATCCTCCAATTAAAGTCTCTGCCACATCCAACTTTGTGGGCTTCTTCTCGTGCCATCTGCACCTGAACAAAGAGCACTACTTGGGTGGCTGGCTGTTGGCTACAGCCCTGTGCCCACCCCAGGACACCTCAGATGCCACACTCGAATGGTAAGTGATGTCAGAGGTGGGAGAGGACTATTTATGGCCCCCGTGCCCCGTATGAAACCGCATCCGGCAGGCACTCACCCCTCCTCCTCCTAGTCACCACACCTCGGGTGGAGAAATGGGAGGGGACGGCAGGTAATGGTGGTAGTGAATTCTAGCTTCTCACTCCCCAGAACAGCCCCAGCCCATGGCTGCCATGTCCTAGAGGTATCTGAAAATGTCTCACAAGCACTCTGTCCTGACCCATCCCAGGCAAGCATTCCATCCCAGGGCAGACTGCCTCTGAGACATTCACACTAAATCTACGTCTAGTCACAGAGTGGTTTAAAGCACCTAGGCTACTGAGGAAAACAAGAGTATCTGCCTACTCCAGGGTTCAAAGGGCATCCCCTGAGTCACTTGAGGGAGCTTTTCGGCAAGTGGACATATTGAAGATCCTGGCTTCACCTCTATTTCCCCAAAGTTTAGTAGGCCTGAAGCTGTAAAAACATTCAATCTGCTGACTCTACACTCTAACAAAGATATAAAGTGTCATCGTCAATGACATTATTACTTCCACGTCTCATTAGAAATGAAACTGGTCTATTCTTTGTTCACTTGGAGATGGTGGTGAACTTGGAGGGTGAGGGAGACACTCATACCTGACCTCCGTTACTCGACACTTCCTTTTCAAAAAATCATTTGTTGTTTTTAAGCTTTCTTGCTGTGACTCTGTGCCCTGTTGTGTTATCCTGACACATGCAACGAGAACTGTGGTAATAGTTTGTGTTATTTCTATTAAGAAGGCATGCTTTTTTATAACTGTGCTTTTTTTCTATGGGCATCTCAGTCCAGAGCATTGTCTTTAACCTGAAGATGTAAAATCCTAGAACTCACTCATCTATTTTAGTAGGTCACAGGAAGCATGCAAGCCATAGAAACCACAGTCACCAAATGTGACTGTATTGAAAGAAAGCAAGAATTTACCTTCTCAAGTGTCAGCTGAACAAAGCCATCACAGAAAAGTAAAGAAGTGACAAGGGGCATCGAAGCAGCCCCGGCTGTCGGTAAACCGTGCCCGTGTTTCTGCCTGGGCAGCAATTCTCCCCAGCCACGCTCTTCCCCGTGTTTTCACCTGGGTGAGCATTGCCATCCGTGGAGGGGCCTAGAGGTTCTTAGAGCAAACTTGACCTTCAGCTGCAATGGTCTGACCCCCAACTCCGCTGCTGGCCTTCCGAGGACAAACAGCAAGAGTCTAAACTTCCCGTGGCCAGCATGTGAACTTTTTGGTCTATGGAAGAACTCAGTGTTCCCTCGCCACTCTGCCAGGTCACCTTGAGATGACCGCTGCCGTGACATTTATGTGATCATGCTTGGTCAGCGGGCACACCGGAGACAGGCACTGGGGACATGCTTTCCCCCAAGTCTGCTCCAAGGACCATCCTCCTCTTGCAGACTGAGATTTTCAGAAACCATGAACCCAGTGCCACAGGTGGATACGGGAATCTCAAGCTTCAGGAAAAGCATCTTTCAATGTATATAAAGGATCCTTAGGTGTATTTGCCCTGGTTCCCAGTTTTCAGACTATCTACATGGAACATATGAGAACAAATTTTTTTAAAAAGTTGGCCCAATAGCTGTGTGGTTACTTGCCCTTCTCCCCTAGATCCACTCTGAGCCCCAGGAAGTGACATCAATGGGATACATCGCCCAGACTCCACGCCACTTCTCTGCCCATTGGGTTCAGTAGCTTGCAGGCAGGAGATCAGAGTCAGCTGAAAGTTACGGACTGTCTGCTCCTGCTCTGCTCTTTCTTTCATCGCTAATGCTCTAGGAGTGGCTGCATCCTATGACCTTCACCTCTCAACTGAAGCTGTTGACGGGGCTCAGGTGGTATTGTGGATTCTGTAACCCTTCAAGCATAGGGCTAAAAGCTCCCGCTGCTGCTACTCACTGGGCACCTCACTGCCTGAGAATGCTTTTCTGGGCGGGTTTAGTGGTAAGAAGTTTCCTCAGCCTTGGTTTACCTGGGAATGTCTTAATTTCTCCCTCACTCTTGGACACGTCTGCCAGATTTAGGATTCTCAGCTGACTATTTCTTTCTTTTAGCACTTTAAATACGTTGGCCTATTGCCTTCTGGCAACCAAAGTTTCTGATGGGAAATCTGCCGCTAATTGTAATGAGGATCCGCTGTACGTGATGAGTTGTTTCTCCTTTGCAACTTGGAGATTATCTGTGTGTCTTTGTCTCACAAATGTTTGATTACAATGTGTTTTGGTATGCGTCTCTTTAAATTTGTCTCATGTGGAGTTCATTAAACTTCTTGAATATTTATATTTATGTCTTTCTTCAAGATTGAAAAGTGTTCGCCATTATTCCTCCAAATATTCTCTTTGCCCTTTTCTCTCTCTTTTCTCCTGGGACTCTCACAGGTTCCTCGAGCTCTGATCGCTTTTCTTCAACCTTTGTATTTGTTCCTCAAATGCACTGATTTCCTTTGTCCTACGTACAAGTTGGTTGAATCTTCTACCTGCTCAAATCTGCTTTTGAGTCCCTGCAGTAAATTTTTATTTGTTATTATTTTTTCAGCTCCAGAATTTCTTTCTGGTTTCTTATCAGGTTTTCTATCTCTTTACTGATATTTCCATTTCTCCATGCAGTTTTCTTGACTTACTCCACAACTTCCTTTAGTTCTTTGAACATCTTTAGGACATTTCTTTTAAAGACCGTGTCTAGTCAATTTGCCATAAGATCTTTTTCAGGAACAGTTCTGTTGATTTCTTTCTTTTTCCTTTGAATGGGCCATACTTTTCTGTTTCTTTGTACACCTTGTGATTATGTTGTTGTTGTTGAAAACTGGATATTTGAATCTAATAATGTGATAACTCTGAAAATCGGATGTTCCCTCTTCTCCAGGGTTGGATGGGTCCTGTGATATTTTTTATTGGTATAAGTTGTATCTGTGTCAAGGATCAACCTCAGGTGTGAAATTAAGGTCTTCTTGGGTCTTTTCTGAGCCTCTGCCTTTCCCTGGGTGTGTGTGGTCACTTTCTAAGTTTCCCCAGAAATGCAGTTGCTGTTAAATGCCCTCGTCTCTAAGGTTTGGCTGCCAAAAGGGCGGGGTGGGAGAGAAAAAGAAAGGGCACTGGCCCTTTAAGCCTCCTGAAAGTCATTTCAGCCAGAGGAGGAGGGGCTGGCAGCAATGGGGGGAAATGCAACAGCATGGCTGTCTGCCTGTTTGTCTGCACCTCTGAGATCAGAAGCAGGACCCAGTGGGCAGAGCACATCCTGGTATTTTCCTACCATGGCTCCCGCAAGCTGTGGGCCAGCTGCTCCAGGAACCTGCGCCAGGTTGCCTGAGGGCAGGGTGTGGGAGATGGGCAGCTGCTATTGTATTAAAAGCTCAATTGACCAAAGTTAACTGCAATTAATTATGCAAGCCTTCAGTAGACTCAAGAGTTCCAAAATAGTTCAATCAGACTGGCTCTCCCAGGAAAATTGTTGGTCTAGGCCGGGAGAGAGATTCCTGGTGATTCCTGCTGCACCGTTTTCTCAGTGGTGTTTTCTTTCGAGAAAACATCTTTCTGGGAAGTAGGACCTGTAATGACCCTTCTTACCAAGGGCACCTGTGACCCAAAAGACCATCCAGCATTCCCTTTCATTAAAATGCTCTCTTTAATGGAATTTCTAACCTGATCCTAAATCCAGGATGCCACTGAGACCAGGGCACACTGTCACATAAAAACCTTATCATGTTTCCTCCACTGTCACCAACAGCCTCCCTTAGCACTGATCCTCTAGGAAACGAAGTTCTCTTGTGCTACATTCATGCAAATTATCACGAGCTGAGGAGGGTAGATTTCTAGATATAGAGACCCACAAGGTGAAGAAGCCCAGAGCCGTTAGACTCAGGAGCAGATTACAGGGTGTGCCCAACTGACTCTTAAGGTTGCATAAGCAAGATTTCAAAATTAATCCTACTCTGGAGACCTCGACCTAGTGTACAAAGTTCCTGGCTGGAAAAGAAGAACTGTATAGCATTCTTTTTTTTTTTTTTTCTTCAAACCTTTACCCTTACTCTTGTATCCCCGCCTTCTCCTTCTGCAGGAAACTTTATTTCCTATTTCTGCACACCCAGTTCCTACCTCCAGATCTGCTCGGTTCTGTTGCTGAGAAGCCTGACGAACCAGTGCCCCTTGGAAGAAGCCATCCACTGGTGAGTTGTGGCTGCTTTTTCCATCACTTTAGGAATCATAGGCTCAGAGCATCTCAACTCTGGGGATGCAGAGACTGGAAGCACCCTGGGGGTCTGCATAGCCCAGGAACTTGGGGATGAAAAGGTGGGAGAAAGGGCTGGAGGATGGTGTCTTCAGCAGAATTGTTACGAGAGAATGAGGAAGTGCAGACCAGGGTGAGACCACCCTTCAGGGCTCAGAGGATAGCAGAAAGCCTGCTGCAATAGAAGAATCAAGAAAGTGAGGACAGCCAGGTATGGCAAGACCACTCCTCTCACTCTGTCCCTCCCAGCCCCCAAGGGCTTAAAAGGGCTGCAACTTTCATCCCAGAATTTTCTCCCCGTCTAGTCCTTATTGTATGTGACAGTTCAGGCTCCCAACCAAAATATGCCTCTTGCCTCGATTCAGGAGGTCCACAGAGACTGAAGAGAGGGATTTATTTTTCTGAGAGGCAGTGTTTAATTGACTCTGGATGAAGTGTCCTGACGCCTGAAAGTGACACCCAGACTGGTGCATTTCAGCCCCCTTGCTAAGTGCCTGCTGCAGCAGGAGCTGAGTGGGCTGGAGTGACAGAGGTGGTAAAGAGGAAGCGGCTGGCATCTCAGAGGCCAGTGCAGGTCTGCAACAAAGCCCAGAGAGCACACGGTGGGAGGCTCTGGGGCACTCGACCCCGTCCCACCCGTCAGCCCCTGTCTGAATCATCAGAGCAAGGTGCGGGGCTGTGTATTTCTAACTGACAGACTTCCTGTATGATACTGAAGCCCAGCATCGAGTACCACTGCGGCAGTCCTCATTCTCCCGTAGGAAGGAGGAGACTAAGCCCTGACTGAATACGGCCCAGGAGCTTGCTGCAGTTAAGGGGCTAGGCATCCCGGTACATTCATGTGTATCAGGTCTCCCTCTGGGTTACCTGCGAGTCCAGTCCACAGCGGGGCATTCTGTTTCTCAGCCACTTGCAAGCCTGCGAGTGCTCTCGTATCCAGTTATTCAGTGGATGTCACTTAGTAGCCACCATGTGCTGGGGTGGGTTCTGGGGCACCATGGTACCTCATTGCAAAGTCAAAGATCTCTGCCCTCACGGAGCTTATGTTCTGGTGCAAGTGTTGTGTGTGTGTGTGTGTGTGTGTGTGTGTGTGTGTGTACATGTGCACACGCACACACGTGCAGTTGTACATGCATGGGTGGAGCACGCTCATGTGGATGAGTGTGGATTCTTAGGCATGGAAGAATACCTAGAAAACCTGTTACCTGTTCTTCTGCACCCATCTCTGCTCTCCGATCCTGGAGGTGGAAGCCCCTGGGGGCTTTCGAAATCGAATAGCCCAGGGTTCCATTCCAGCTCAGCCATTACTTGCTTTGTGAATTCGGGAGTTATTTGATTCATCCATGCTTGCGTTTCTTCATTTGTAAAATGCATAGTTATCTCACAGATTTGTTGCAAAGATTAAATGAATCAATGCATGCAGAGTATGCAGCATAGCACCTGAAACCTAAGGAGAGGTCCATTAATAATTATCGTTGTAATTCTTCAGGTGGATACATTTGTTTTCCAAGCCTGATCAGAGGTCTTGTTTAGAACTACAGATCTCAAGAAATCTGGCTCAGTGGCATGAAATGCAAGCTCTGGGAAATGGATTAATCACAGGAGAAACTGAAGAATATACACACATATAAAAAGATGTGTACGTAGATAGAAACAAATTCATAGCCATGACCAAGAAAAAAATGAATATGCTTGAGAATCAGGCCGAATGATGTTAGATGTCATATTTTCATTGGTGCCCCTGTAAGCCAGGTGCCACTGTAAGAGCTGGAGACAGAATTGTGACCTAGTTCTTGACTTTAAGGGGCACTCAGGGTGCAGCAGATACAGTGATAAGTGCTGATTAAGAGCTTTGCACTGTGTCATGAGATGACACCAGTGACCAGATAGAGGAGGCTCCAGGGGGAAGGGGAATTTGAGCATGAGGTAGTGGGAGGGGGAGGAGGAGGGGCTCACCAGCCGTTCCAGGCAGAGGGGTGAACACATGCAAAACTATCGAAGCAAGAAGGAAATGGTGAGTTCAGGGGGAATAGAGAGAAGATGGCTGTGTCTGGAGCCTGGGGTCTGGGATTTGAGAAGTGATTAGACATGAAGCTGATGAGATGAGAGTTTAGAGAAGGCGAGATGAGTCGTCTGGGCTTTCCCTTTGAAGTCCCATCCAATACACATCACAGAGCTCCTGGAGGTTTCCGGCCAAGACATGCACAATCTGATTTCAGCTGCAGAGAGGACGTGGTGAAAGGGGGCATGGCCAGGAACAAGCTCTGAGACCACCTCAAAGCCAGAAGTGAAAGGCAGACAAGGCCAGGAAGTGGCAGTTGAAAGACTTTCCGAGGGGATGAGTCTCAGGGGTGTCTATGAACCAGAAGTCAGATGACATCATAATGACGATGCAGAGCGTCTCTGCACCGGGTGCGGGTGTCTTTGTCTCCAGGAATCTTTACGGCAGCCAACATAGTCAATCTCTTATATATAAAGAAATCAATCGGTGAAGGAGTAATTAGCCCCAAATGACCCAACTTGTAAATTGGAGGCAGGATTCAAATCTAGTCTGTTTGGCTCCCATGGCTTGGTTTCTAATCTAAAGAGGAGGGGACCGGGATCATGCTAAATTCCACTTCTTAGGTGATGGAGTAAAAGACAATAGCCAAGATTAGGAATCCACAGGTTGAAGCAAGTTTCTGTCTGGGGCTGTTGCCGTGGGGTAAGTTGAATTGGAGGTACCTGTATAACACCCGCTTTGCTCACTGTTGTAATGCTAGTGCCTAAAACAGAGCATGGATCCTAGTAGGTGCTCAATAAACATTGATTAAATGAGCAAATCTAAGGGGAGATACATAGTAGGCAACAGAAAATTCTACTCTGAGGTGTGGAAGTCAAAAGATGGGACCAGAAGACAGAGCCTCAGAAAGCGTTAGTATTCAGGGGACTTAGAACCCTGAGATTAGGTGACATGACTCAGGAAGGACGTTGGAGCAAGAATAAAGAGAAAAACGGTGAAGAGGTAGGAGCCAAGGATGGTGCCTGGGCACGGGAAGAAGGCACCAGGGAAGAAAATTCACAGGAAGCAGTAAGGCAGGAGCTAACCTCCTGGAAACCAAAAGTTTTATATGGAAGAAGTTATCAGAAGGCGCAAAGGCTCAGTGAGGATGAATCTGAAGTGAAGCCAGGGCATTTATAAATGGGGTTGTGGCCCTGGCTGCTGTGGCTCCAAGGGTTGAGTGCCGGCCGAGGAACTGAAAGGTCACTGGTTTGATTCCCACTCAGGGCACGTGCTTGGGTTGCAGGCTGGGCCCCCGGTTGGGTGATCGATGTTACACATCGATGTTTCTCTCCCTCTCTCCCTCTCTCCCTTCCTCCCTCTCTAAAAAATAAATTAAAATTTTTTTAAATAAAATCTGGGTTGTCATTGCAACCTTGGCAAGAGAATAAGAGGATTTTGACAAAATGATGAAAGCAGAAAGTTGAGAGGAGTATCGGGAGACTTTCAGCTGCAAGTCACTGAAAATGCGCCTTATCTTGGCTCAACCACAGGGGCTGACTGAGCACAAGGGTGGGTATGGGACTGGGTGATATTCGGACCCTGCTTAGATTTGCTCCAAGCACCAAGCTTGGTCCCTCGGTCATGGTCCTAGGCACCAAGTCCTCGAAACACAAGCTGCAATAGTAGAAGGGTCTTACATCTCTCTTATCAGAGAAGAGGGTTCCCAGAAGCCCCTGACCAGAGTCTCCTTCTGATTACCATCCAGGAATGGGTCCCCTGCAGAGGAGGTAGAGAAAGCAAGTGTCCGGCATATTCGCCCATGAGAGCTGGGCTCTGGGGGAAGGTCAAGGGTGTTGGCAAATGGTGGCTGGGGAGATGACGGGCTTCTGCCACTAGGAATTAAGGGAAGTGATGAACCAACATGCGTGTTTTCAAGGGGACGAGGCAAAGACAAAGACCGGGTACTGCTTAAGGGGGCCGATTCATACCTGGTATTGGAGCAGCTATGTCATATGTTTCCGTCTTGCTTTCTGTTTGCAGGGCACAGGGAGATGGGTGACGATAAAGATGTGCTGGCCGAGTTCAGCCACAACATGCTGTCCACAGCTCATTCTCTGCTTCCAACGAACATCAAGGGGTACGATGAGGACACCACCTCCCCCTTTGACTACGGGGAAAGTGAACCCTGCAAAAAAGTTGACGTGAAACGTATCTCAGCCTGGCTCCTGCCCCTGCTCTACTCGATGGTGTTCATCGTTGGTTTTGTGGGCAACCTGCTGGTCGTCCTCACCCTGATAAACTGCAAGAAGCTGAAGAGCATGACTGACATCTACCTGCTCAACCTGGCCATCTCCGACCTGCTTCTCCTTCTGACTTTGCCAGTGTGGATCCACTCTGTCACCAACGAGTGGGTCTTGGGGGGCGCGATGTGTAAAGTCATCACAGGTATATACCAGGTTGGTTATTTTGGGGGAATCTTCTTCATCATCCTCTTGACAATCGACAGGTACCTGGCGATCGTCCATGCTGTGTTTGCTTTAAAAGCCAGGACGGTCACGTTCGGGGTGGCGACGAGCGGGGTCACGTGGGTGGTGGCTGTGCTGGCCTCTCTCCCAGGAATCATCTTCACTGAAGCCAAACTTGAAGACGATGCTTACTTCTGCGGCCCCTATTTTCCAGTAGAATGGAAGAATTTCTATTCGATAATGAGGACTGTCTTGGGCCTGGTCCTGCCTCTGCTCGTCATGGTCGTCTGCTACTCAGGGATCCTGAAGACCCTGCTCCGGTGTCGGAACGAGAAGAAGAGGCACAAGGCGGTGAGGCTCATCTTCGTGATCATGATCGGTTACTTCCTCTTCTGGACCCCCTACAACATCACTCTGATCCTGGACACCTTCCAGGTGTTCTTTGACGTGAGTAGCTGTAAGACCGCCAGCCAGCTGGACAAAGCCATCCATGTGACGGAGACCCTGGGGATGACGCACTGCTGTGTCAACCCCATCATCTACGCCTTCGTCGGAGAGAAGTTCAGGCGGTATGTCTCCGTGTTTGTCCGAAAGCACATCGCCAAACACCTCTGCAAACAATGCCCGATTTTCTATCGGGAGACCGTGGATCGAGTGAGTTCAGGATACACCCCTTCCACTGGGGAGCAGGAGGTCTCAGCTGGTTTGTAAATGAGCAGCTGTTGGCTTGTTGTTTTCAAAGGGACATAGCAATCTCTATATGATAGTACACCCTCAGGGTTTGTTGAAGTATATAGGTCTGCAAAGTCTCTAAAGCAAGTACCCAGGAACCTTGGCCTTGCATGCACTGAGACAGACTCACATCACTCCTTGCATGGCTGATATGTCCTCAGGGAATATTCCAGAACAACTGCAGGCAGAGACTTGGACTCTGTAGCAAGCGTGTCTCAATTCCCGGACAATGCCTCGACAGCCTGTGTTTGGTCCTCCCCGCAGTCCACACCACGCCTTCCCTTGCTCTCTGAGTCTAGCAGTCTCTTTAATCAAGTACGCAGTGAGACCACTGTGGGCAAAGGAAGTGAGGGTGAGCAGGGGCGGCCGCAGCAGAGAGGAGGGGGGAGTGAGCACGGCTGAGCCTGGATGAGGGTGGAAGTCAGGGGTTTGTTCCTTCAGCCCACCAAGTACCGGTCCCTAGCCCCATCTCCCACCCCTGTTTGACTTTGAAGGCTCCCCCAGGCCCTGGAGAGCTCAGGAGCCATCATCACTTTCTGACAGCTTTGTTTGAGCCCCACGGTCCTCTCCTCCATAACTTCATTTTCGATTTATCCTGCTTTATCTATACCAACCACTCACCCTGCTGCTGCAATCCAATAGATTCCCGCTGTCCCCATGTTTCTTGGGCCAATCCCCCTGTACAAAAATGTGTACAAATGTTCGTGTATGAAATAGGCGTAATCTATAATGAGATGAAAAAAAACCCTTGTTTTGTTTTTCCAGGGAGAGGGGAGGGTTGGAGGTAGAGATTAGGAGAAGGGGTGGAGACAGTGAGTCCCCCCATCAGGGGTACAGGGCCATAGCGAGAGAGAGAGCAACCCTGGCTCAGCAGTGTGGGCATCATTTCTCCAAGCGAAAGGCTGAGGGTTCGATTCCTGGTCAGGGTACATGCCTGGGTCGCAGGCCAGGTCCCTGGCTGGGGGCTTGCAATGGGCAACAGATTGGTGTTTTTCATTCTCTCTTTGTCTCCCTCTTTTCCCCTCTCTCTAAAATATAAATAAAATCTTTAAAAAAAAAAAAAAAGGAATGAGACCACCCCAGGCCCCAGGAATGTTTCCAGAATGAGCTAAGGGACAGGCCAGGTCTCAGGTCTATTGGCTTCCTTGTCGCCTTCCTGCTGCCCCCACTTGTATAGCCTTTAGCACACAACTCCTGCCTGTAGGACTAACCAACTTCCAAGTCCAGTTTGTGGAGGTTCACGAGGGTAAACCTGGGGAGGACCTGAAGGAAACTGAGCAGCAGAACCCCTGGCTGGGTCTGGAGGAGGGAAAACAACGGGCGGGGCCCTGGGGTGTGTCCTCGGGACAGAGAAGGGACCCAGGCACTGACAGGGGCCTGCACTGCACCGCCTACCTCGGCTCCTCCAGAGTGTCCTTTTTGGATACAGAGGTAGAATTCAGATACTAACATTTAAACAAGGGGAAAAAACCTAAAACTAAAGTTAAAGCTCAAAACCGTAACACGCAAGCATGCGAATATGTCACTTTAAGAGTTATTGCTGTGCCAAGCCTGAAAGTGCCGCATCCGTCATAAAGACAACTCTGCTTCTGCCCTTAAAGTCTTGGAGCGTGTTTGGGCGACAGCCAGCTCAACACAAACACCTGTTGGCCGGGGAGCTGGAGACTCGCCATCCCTGGGCTTGCCAGCTTAGGGTGACCCGGCATGTAAATAATATCGTTTGGGTCACAGCGCCCACCTGTCATCTCAATTGTATCTTTATTCTCTCAGACTAGCTGCCAGAATCTTTTTTTTTTTTTTTTTCATCTTTAAATCTCTGAACTCGTGGGTATAATCATATGTGAATGCTTCGGCGCTTTGTGGGTGTCCGTACTGACGCTGAACTGTCCCATTTGGCCAGTGGGGACACCTAAGCCAAGCTGACCCCTCGTCAAAGATCCTGTTGTAAAGAGTGGGATTTGGTCGACCTCGGTGAAGTGAAGACTCCCACCTCGGGTGAGCGGAGCGAAGAACGTTCACTTGTGTCCCCAGCACATGTGTGATCCGAGGCAAGCGGGAAGCACGGGCTTTGGTACTCGGGAGGGGCCGTTACTATGGTTTTTGCCTCGTGGCCAGGCAAGGTTTCCTGAAGAAGCGTGTGTGTTGGGAGTGGAGGAGGGCATGCTTCCCCTTCTGGTATTTCTGGTGTCCTAACGAATGCATTAGATTTTGTTTCAATGATTGTTATGACTTGAAAACTGCGTGAATGCTCTCTGTGTGTGTTTTCTTTTTAAACCTGTTCATAAAAAACTTGTCATTTCCTCCTCCCTCAACTCTGGCTACTACCCTTCTATCCTCTTCACCTGTGCCTCTGACTGTTCTGACCATCTCCTGTCGGTGGGATCAGGAGGTACTGGCCCTTCTGTGACTGACGTATTTCACTCAGAGGACTGTCCTCCAGGTTCATCCATGTGGTCACGTGTTACAGGGTTTCTTCTTTGCTGAGGCTAAATAATACTCCATCCTGTGTTATCACACTTTCCTTATCCATTTACCGACACGCATCGTATCTGAGTTGGACGAGATGCATGGGTTCTGAATCTCCGCTTTACCATATTGTACGTTATGCCTGTATAGAACAGTACCATGTTGTATACTCCAGAATCTGTTAAGAGTGTAGTTTTCCTGTTGTGTTCTTACCCCAATAAAATTGAAAAAAAGCAGCCTGTTTTGTCACACCTTCTCACTCCTTCCCCTGTGTGATTTTACACGTGCCTGTCCTTGTCTGTGACTTTCATGCGCCCTATAGACAGGACCCCACCCCGTCCACAGGTGGCTGGGCCAATGGGAAGTGAGCAGAAGGGACCCCACTATTAAAACTTCCCTCACAAGCTGCAATGGCCTCAGGTGTGGTTAACCAGAGGCAAAGTCGCCTAGGGCCACCAAGGGGGGATGCTCCGTGAGAGAAGTCACCTGGGTGTGCAAGCGGCCTGGCCCTGGGTGTGGTGAGTGACTAAGGTTAGCAACTTCTTCAGACTTTGCTGCCTTGGCAGCATGTGTGACCTCGACCCCGGGTGCCCTCACCTCCTTGGGACATCCTCGCTGCCTCGGTGCCGTGCCCTGTCTTCACCGTCCCCTCTCTCTAATGCCCTCTTCCCCTGCTCGGCTGGTCTGCTGACTAGTGGACGCCCCACCCAGGGACACGGTGCTGGCCTCCTCTCTCCCAAGTGCCCATCCCTCATGCACGTCTCTCAGAGCCCCTTCCTTGGCACCCCCTCTCTCCTCCCCATCGATCCCACCCACTCCTACCCCCTTTTTCTGCCCCCAGTTATCTCCTTACAGGACAGGGCCACACATCTTCCCCGGGGCAGACAGGGGTGGGAGGAGTTGAGTGGGGACCAGAGCGGCAGGGTTGACTCTGCCACTCTCGGGGAGCCCTGGGGACCGTGTGCAGCCCCCATGGCAGCGGTTTCCTTTAGAAACACGGGGCGCTTAACACCTCTTTGCCCTCAGCCTCAGGTTATGGTTGCCGGCTCTGGGGCAACAGGAAAAGCCCCACATAATATCCTGTTATGCACGGAGCTGACTATGGAGTGGCAGGTGTGACCTGACCCCCAGAGGGCACCGCGCGCCTACTGTGCACTTTGATCGGCCCATTGGACTTCTGTTACTGAACTTCAGGTTGCATCAGCCCACGTCTGGCAGTGATTGGGGGAAAAACACACAAAAAGCAGAGAGCAGACTCTCCAGGGAGTTAAGGGGTCCCCACCAAGGGATGAGGTGGACGGTCTGCAAGTGTCTTGGTTGATGATTTCTTTCACAGGGCGTGGGGACCTGGTGCATGGGTTGGGGGAAGGGCTGTCCTGGGAAGGGTCTGAGGACAACAGGAATAGAGAGGACAGCACAGTGACCTCCCAGCTCTGCTCATCGTGACAGGTATCTGGAGCAGAAGGTGAGGGGTGATGGGGGACACAGGCCCCAGCATCATTGCCAGCACATGGGTGGCTTCCTCCTTGATGGCATTATCAGAGCACTGATGGTAAGATTCAAAACATGCTGTCCGCATTAGAGCACGGTGTCCACATTAGTGTGCGATGTCTGCACTAGCGAGCCCTGAAAGAAGCCCAGCTGTGTCACAGAGCTCTGTCACACACATGACACCATTCTGTTGAACAGAAGGAGCCAGGCATAAAGGGGCAGAGTCTGGCCTGTGATGCCACTTACATGACATTGAAGGACAGGCACATCACATCCCCGACGTGGAAGTCAGAGTGGCCCTGGCCGCTGGACAGGCACGAGAGCATCTGCCAGAGTGACTGGGCAAGTCCCTGTCCTTTTGACCCAGGTGGCGGATGCATGGTACACGCTTGGCAAAACCTCACCACGCTGTCCCCCTACAATGTGTGTGCTCTGCCCCAGGCAATGTATAGCTCAGTAAAAATAATGAAAAGATATAAAAAATGCTTAATAATGTGAAGAAACGCCTATGAGATAGTCTTCAGTATGAAAAGAAAAAGAGTAACACACAGAGCTGGCATGAACAGGAGAACAATGAATCAAAAAGGAAGTGCAAGAAAAGGTCTGGATTAAAACGCACCTTATGTTGAGAGAGGTTGTTTTGCTATTGTAAGAATATGCCTGGTTTGTTTCCCACTTTCTATTTTCCTGTTCTTCCTAACTTCACACAGTGAGCATGTGTTGGTTTTATAATTCGACATTTGTTTTAAGAACTAAAGGATGCATTCGCGATTTTTGCAGCCCATCTCACTGCTGACTGACGTCCCCCAGGTCAACTCGAGCCCCAGGTGTGTCCGTGGGAGCTGCTGGGTGGCTGGGCTCCGGCTCACTGTGTTCCTGCAGGTGACCCTTCGGACCCGAGGCGAAGGCTGGATGTTGTCCCCACCCGCAGACAATGCTCAGAGCGCGTGGTCCAGAGCTGGTGTGAGCGAGGAACGTGGGGGCTAGAACCCCAAGTACAGCAGCTGTTTAAAAACTGGCAGGGCCCCAAAGAAGGGCCTGCATGAGACACCCTCCAACACAGACATCCAGTCAAGGGTGACAAACCAGTCGAAAGATCATTTCTGAGGAGGGGGATCTGAATGCCACACATGAGAACAGAGCCCGGAGGAAGGGAAGGGACAGAGTTAAAAGAGAAGCAGAGACCAGGAAACTGAGTCACAGCACACCAAACGGCTAATGTGGCCTCACTGTAGTTACGTCCTTTGTCCTTTCACCGATGAAACGCTGAAGAAGTTTCCAGGGGTTCTCACTTCCTTGTGGGTCCTGGGGATGAATCCCTATCCCAAGGGGTGACCTCCACTCTCCTCCGGACCCAGAAACCAGAGGGGGTAATGTATGCTGCTGAGCTGTGATTCCTTGTTTCCCCCTGTAAATCTTCACCTTATCCCCACCCCCCCCCCACCCCGGTATGTGTTTCCCGAACCCATGTGGCCATGGAGTCATTTACTGTTTTAGTGGGGAGCTGCCGTCGGGACCCCCCCAGGCCTACAACATCACTTGACAGAGGAGGAAATGGAAACTGAGAGAGGAATAACATCTTGCCCAGAGCACAGTGGGAGCCGGCGGCAGTCTGGGCGAGCCCGCTCCATTGCTCCATGCTGCCCTCTAGGGGTGAGCGTCATAAACTCAGCCCTTCCGAGGGTGGACACAGACAGCCGGCGAAGGGCAGGTCTGTGTGGGGAAATTCCGCAAACTACCGCGGCCTCAGACGGAAAAGTCACGTTTGTCCAGCAGCAACCTGAGCGTTCTACACGAGTGTACTACAAGCAAACACCAGCCTGCCCTTCCCAGAACCAAAACCGTTACCTGCTTTCTGTGACATTTTATACTCATTGATTCACTACCCATTTTGTGAACTCTTTCTAAAGCATACTTTATATTTCACTGCTTAAATATCCCACAGGAGACAGGTTTCTCCAAAAGGCTCTACGCTCGTGACCTCATTTGATTTTTTCCTGGTACATAGTTAAATACCATATAAGTGATAGATATTAACATCATTTTTCTAAGCTCTGTTGAAAAACTCCAGGCCACCTAAAATTTTCCCTCCCTTTTTTTTGTTCCCATCCCCCCACCCCCACCCCTTCATCAGCTTCTTCTCTAATCTATGGGTCTATGTATCATTTCATCTTGGCCACAGACCTATCAAGTAGGTTTGTGTGTTTGGTTTTTTGCCCTACATCACAGATAAACAGAAACCAAAGCCTGGAGAGTTTCACTCACTTGTCCAGATCAAATAGTGAACAGCGAAGCTGGGTTTAAATCCAGCCGCATGACCACAGAGTTGGGCTCTCAGTCATTGCCTCTTGAATTACACGGGCTGGATGGACTTGAATGTCTTTATGGTTTCCTGTCCCGGTGAGGGTCACCAGGTGTTGGGCTCTGCAGTAACACAAACATGGGTCCCTCCACAGGCTAGTTCTGTGCTCTCCCGGCCTCTCCAGAGTCCTTTGCTCCTGTTCTCCAGGCACCAGGCAGTAGTTTCGTGGACCCTTTCAGCGTCTCACTTGCTGATACTAAGCAGCTGCACGCAAGGACCGCAGGGAGCCAGTTCTGTGAGAATTTTATCAAACAAACCTCTCTAAGGAAGGATCCCTTAATGACTAAGAGTCTGAGGTTTACTGAATGTCTATTATGTGCTCAATTCTGCACTTGGATGCCTCATGTAATCCTCCCAACAAAACCTTGAAGCAACTACCGCCAGCCCCTGTGGCAGGCGCCTCCCCAGGCCTGGGGTCCCCTGGGCCTTCGTGCAGATCACAGCCTTCTCGGTCTAGAGCAGAGGGAAGGGAAGCCCTTAGAGGGTGCTCCTGAGGCTCAGGCACGACTCTGCTGTGTTCTCAGCTGTGTTGTCAACCGAGGTTCTTATGGTAAGTCACCAACCACCAAGAAAGCTTGATGTAACCACCCGTGACATCCTCATATAATCCTGAATTTGATCCTATTCTTCTGGCATTTGCTGCCCATTTTATGTTGAAAATTTCTCCTACATCCAGATAGACCTCGGAGTGAGAATCCTGCCATCTGTATACCTGGTATAACATAGGCATCTATCAGTGTCTGCTGGTTTGGAGGGCTGCAAAACAGTGAATAGGTAGAGAAAAAATTGTAATGATGTGTCCCACTAGATACCCGAGAGAAAAGTGGGCCGCATGGTTAGCTCACAGGTGAACCTGTAATGTTAAAATGCCTTAGACAACCAGCTGTATTACAGAGAAGAATCGTGCTGGGTGGTGAGCACATGTGTGAGTTGTGGTAGGCAAGGGGGATGAAAGAAGGGTGGATAAAAGGGATGCAAAGTATTCATGGGGTGAATAGGCAATATTCCTCTCTGAAGTTCAAGTTGTTCAAGTGGCTTTCTTTGATGACAAATACCAAGAGGATGCAAATGTCTTGCCCTTTTAGCCTCCCTACCAATAAGCCATGTGGTCTTTTACAAATCATTTGCCTCTTGGACAGCAGGCCTTTTTGGTTTTTTGGGTTTTCAGTAAAATGGGGTCTCTGGACTAGATACATGTGCATTAATCTCCTTTCATTCTATTTCCTAACAGACTCTGCCTGGTTGAATCAACAGAGAAACAAAAGAGGAGAGTGCAACCAGGGAAGCCTGCAAATAAGCTTCCCAACCAGAGAACAACTCTCCAGTCTATTTAAAGCTAAATTTTTTTTTTTAAAAAAAGGAAAAGAAAAGAAAAGGAGAACTATTTACTGACTTTTTTTTTTGCCCTGCAACATACGTAGGCATTAGAACTCCACCCCCCTTTTAGTAGAAACCATGCGTTTCCTACTTGTCTGCTACTATATATTCAGTTTGCTCAGCTCAGCTGGTAAGAGGATCTGAGACATCCGCTCTCCCCACAAGACACTGCCCGGTAAGTCACCTCTCAGCCACTTTGATTATTAGCTCAGCGCCTGTGAGGACCACAGGCCTTTACAGGAAACCCATAGAAGACATTAAACAAAAAAACAGGTGCTCACAGAACTATCTTAGAATATAATCTTTAAAATAAGGGTTGGAATTTAGAATGGGCTTCAAACAGCGATAGCATCAAAGATCCAAAATATGTTTATGAATGAAAGATCTTAAAGGGGACGATATCATCTCTGTAAAAGCCCTCACCTTTCAAAAGAAAGATTTTTCCAGAGAAGTAATTCTTGGCCAAAATCTTAGTAGAGACTGTCTTTTGATAAGGAGAACTAAAACCTCCAGGCAGGGTGCCCTTTGAATATGCACCCGACCAGAAGTTGTGTCTAACTCTGGTTCTTTGGGGTGTTTTATTTCCCAGAAAAGAGGAAGGCTAAAAATTGTCCAAATTAACATCATCACAAACACGAAATCAAGTTTCCCTTTACTGTGTGAGCTCTGCGGCACATGGTAGTGCATGATAGTCTTTGGGGCTCAGAATTTAAAGGGGAAATTTGGGGGGTGCTTCTCCCAGCTGCCTAGGATTAACTGGAGGGAATTTTCAGTCCAGAGGTGGAACTGTTCTTCAGTAGACCAGACAAGCCGGTGGATTCTGAGGGAACTGAGCTAACCCAGAAGGTATGGCAGTCAATGGGACATTTTCCACTCAGACATTTCTTGTGGACGTTGAGATCCCAGGAATGATAAACCCAAACTTCAGAGGAAAAGGGGCAATACCAGCCTGGCTTTTCCAAATGGCTGTTGGCTCTTATGACCTTCTCTGGGGACCCAGCACCAGCCCGTTCCTTTCTGACTACATGGAGGTGCCAGTGGCTGGTCCTGCTCTTTGGTTCTCTCACCAGGGAGTGAGAACCAGGGTGACGTGGTGGGTAAGGGCAGGCTGCCTGTGTTTGAAATCCATTGCTTCCCAGATGTATGTTTCTGGGGAGGTTCCTCCCTGGGCTTTGAGTCCTCCTCTGCAAAATGGGGACGATAATGTGACCTGCCTCCCCGGGTGACCTTGATGATTAGTTGAATAACTGGATGTGAAGCCTAGAAGAGTGGTTGGCCAGCATCGTGCCCTTGGGAGATATTAATGATCACAGCGCACCCGAAGTGATGCTCACCTGAGCACACTCCAGGGACATGGAAGCTCCAGCATAGGTTGTTAGACAGTGTTGAACAGACGGTGCCAGACTCAGTTTCTCTGAATAGTTATCAAAGCTTCGTTACTCTGTGAGGCTGTGGAGCACCAGGGTTCACTGGGTGAGGTGCTGCCTACATCTCTTTCCCCAGACAGAGTGAGGGAAGCCAGCAGGGAGACTTTCCCTTATTACAAAACTCCACTGTTTGGGGAAAACAAAAAGGGGAGCTCAGTTAGATGTAGAAGTCTCTCTATCGATTTTAAGGACCTATTCATATACAAGATGGCTTGCATTGCACTCCTGGTGGATCACTACACACCTTCTAGGACTTCCTAAAAGATCACTGTTTCCTTATTTGCAGGGTGGAGCAAGATGGATTATGTCATGTCAACCACAGTGGATTACATCGATTACGCTCTGTCGGTGCCCTGCCATAAAACCGACGTGAGAGCCATCGCAGCCAAGCTCCTGCCTCCGCTGTACACGCTGGTGTTCATCTCTGGTTTTGTGGGCAACCTGCTGGTCGTCCTCACCCTGATAAACTGCAAGAAGCTGAAGAGCATGACTGACATCTACCTGCTCAACCTCGCCATCTCCGACCTGCTCTTCCTCCTCACCATCCCGTTCTGGGCTTACTACGCTGCGGACCAGTGGGTCTTTGGGAACGGAGCGTGTCAGCTTTTGACAGGGTTCTATTTAATCGGCTTCTTCTCTGGAATCTTCTTCATCATCCTCTTGACAATCGACAGGTACCTGGCGATCGTCCATGCTGTGTTTGCTATAAAAGCCAGGACGGTCACGTTTGGGGTGGTGACAAGCGGGATCACGTGGGTGGTCGCTGTGCTGGCCTCTCTCCCAGGAATCATCTTCACCAAATCCCAAAAAGAGGGTTCTCGTCTGACGTGCAGCCCTCATTACCCAACCAATAATTATCATTTCTGGAAGAGTTTCCAGACCTTAAAGATGGTCATCTTGGGCCTGGTCCTGCCTCTGCTCGTCATGGTCATCTGCTACTCAGGGATCCTGAAGACCCTGCTCCGGTGTCGGAACGAGAAGAAGAGGCACAAGGCGATGAGGCTCATCTTCGTGATCATGATCGGTTACTTCCTTTTCTGGACCCCCTACAACATCACCATGCTTCTGAACACCTTCCAGAACGCCTTTGGCCTGAACAACTGCAGTAGCTCCAATAGGCTGGACCAAGCCATGCAGGTGACGGAGACCCTGGGGATGACACACTGCTGCATCAACCCCATCATCTACGCCTTCGTCGGCGAGAAGTTCAGAAACCACCTGGCATTCTTGTTCCGAAAGCACATCGCCAGACGCCTCTGCAAACGCTGTCTGATCCTCCAGCGAGAGGCTCCCGAGCGCGGAAGCTCCGTCTACACCCGATCCACGGGGGAGCAGGAACTCTCTACTGGCCTGTGACCCGAACTTGGCTTTTAGACACACACTGGGGGGCAGGAGCAGTTATTTTAAAAAGGAAGTTGCTATCACGGTGGGTCCGAGATCAGTCCATCTATCTGGAATCTGCTGGGAGGGTGGTAAATACTTTGGGCCCATGGATTCCAGAATCCTGAATCAAAACATGTGGGGGAAACAGCCACCTGGCCATCTCCCCTCCACGTACTTCCACCGTTGGCGGACTGTCCCTTCACTGTGAAAGTTCATTAGGAAACCAAAATCCCCAGGGAATTGCTGATTCTTGAGTTCGGTTACCCAGCCAGGAACGACTGACAGAATCAAGAAACGTGTTGTATCATTTCTTTCTGCACAGGCCAACGCACAGGTGGCAAATGTGTTTAAAACGGGTCCTTGTCTTGCCGTGGGGAGAAGAGACATGAACAGGATCTGTCGTGAGAGGCCGTCTCCCTCCTGTGATTTCCTCCAAGGTGGGTTACCAGTTCCACAGCTGCTCAGCGCCAGGTGGAGCCCTGTGGCCAGCTGAGCGCCGGCAGAGCTTCTTCGGTGAGGGGGGGATGGCTGGGGCATCGGCTGTCAGCGGAAGAGAGGAAAGCAGAGCTCCAGACTGCAGGCAGCAAAGACACAGTGGGGTACGGTGCAGGCTGGGTTATGAGGAACCCAGGCAGCACTGCTCCCCCAGGTCTGAGAGCAGAGATGGGGCCCTGGCGGTGTGGCAGGAGGCTCACTCCATGCCCTGAGGATGACCTGGAAAGGTGCACATGTGGGGCAGGGAGCCCAGCAACAAGCAGGTCTGGGTGAGGGGCCTCCGCGTGGGTCGAGGCAGCTGGGGGGGTGCTCACTCACAGTGTTTGAGATTAGAGTCAGCAGAACTGGGCCCACTTGGGTGGGTGGCGAGGGGCACAGAGGAGTCGGAGAGACCCTGGGCTTCAAACTTGCAGATTGGAGATGCCCTAAAAGAGACTACAAGCATGGAAGGGAGGGGAGGTTCAGGTGGAAATCGGGAGGGTAGGTGAAGAGGTTGGGTCGCTTTTGTGAGCTCACAGGCAGCCCTTCACGATGGGCTCATTCTCAGAAATGCCTTCCCCCCACCCGAGTTCGATCACGAGGCATCTCCCGGAGGCTTTGAGACAACACGCGTTTGGGAATGCACGGGCCTAGGGTCCAGGAACACTTCCGGGTCGGGTAGCACATAGTTCATGAAAACCCAGCACTTTGCAGGCATGAGCCCAGAAGTGAGGGAAGCCCAGATGGCCTGGTGTCTGCCTGCCACACACTCATCACTGTTTAAGTATCGCCGTCCAGACAGAATTATATCAACAGGCAGAAGGGAGAAGAGACACACTCATCGGGAAACAAGCTGTCTCCAGCTTCAGAAACCACCAAAGCACAGCTTGCCAACCTCTGTGTTCTGGGCCGAGCGTGGGGCCTTCAGACACCCCTTCCAGTGCCCCCTCCAGACAAACGATCCCCAAACACTAAGGGAGCCGTGCGGTTCCGAGGGAGAGTGGTGGGCTTTGTTTCATTCTGCAGTCGCCACTTTTCTTATCTTGCACATGAGAATGTTTTGAAACTGGGACAGCCGAAACCATGGCAACAAACCTGAGGTGAAGAAGCACGAAGGAGTGAGAATGAGATCAAGGTGTCAGAATAACAGGAGGTGTTACTGGGCTTTCTCAGACCCTGAAACCTGAACCTTGAGGGTTGTGGTTGTCAACTGCAAGTGACTGGGAGCGCCTGTCCCTCTGGTCTAGAGACTGTTGGGAGGGCCTCCCAGCACCGGACCCAGCCTCCGGGTGGGTTTGGGCTTCTGATCTTTGTCTGTGTGTACATATGTATATGATATTCTTATGTATGTAGAAGTTACAAATTGCTTGGAAGAAAATATGCGTCTAATAAAACCACACTCTAAACTAATTGATTGGCTGGTGTAGCTCAGTGGACTGAGCACCGGCCTGTAAACCGAAAGGCCGCTGGTTCAAATCCCAGTCAGGGCACATGCCTGGGTTGGGGGCCAGGTCCCCAGTTGGGGGGCCTGGGAGAGGCAATGAATCAATGTGTCTCTCTTACATCAATGTTTCTCTCCCTCTCTTTTTCCCTCCCTTCCCTCTCTCTAACAAAGTGAATACATACAATCTTTTTAAAAAATAAAATTAAATAACCTCTTGTATTCCTGTTCTTTTGATCAGGTGTACATTTACAGCGTAGCACATAAAATTGTAAGAGCATTTTGTAAGTAGCTGTTTGGGAAAATGTCACACACATATTGAGAATTGTATCTGTTTTTAAATATTTTTTAAAACTGACCCTGTACCTGGGTCAAATGGCCAGAATACTTTGTATTTGAAGATGCTGTCCCAGGATGGAGTTTCTGAGCAACCGAGCCCAAAAATGTTCACGTTTCAAATTTAATTCTGCAACGCCAGGAAAAGAATTGACACGTGCTTTTAAAGAAGAAAACCCACGCGGCTCACGCACGCGGCAGCTGTGTGTGTTTGAGCGTGAGCGCAGCGTGTGGTGCCACAGCCTCGGTGGGACACAGAAGGATGGGCTGGTTGCTACAAAGGTTGCTTTTCTTCCCTTTAAAGTCCCTCCCAACAACCTGGCTGTCACTGCGGTGATGACGAGGGTTCCCGTGTGGGTTTCTGTGCATGTGTCTCTTATCCTGACAGAGGACAGGTGCTCCAGGTGGAGGGGAGGCAATGGGCTGCCAGCACTCATAGCTGGGAACACACCGTTTTTCATCCTGCTGTGCTCTCCCCTTCCAGCAGGTGGCAGAAGAGCCAGCGACCATCCCGCTTGGAGGTCCATGAAATGGGCAGAAGGCAAGGACGGCTGGTGCGGGCTCTTAGGATACTAACTTCTCCCAAACAGCATTGAAGGGCTGCCTTCCATCTGCTAGGCCAAAAGGAGGCATGAGCCAAGGAAAGCAGAGAGGCGGCAGGGGTTAGAGGGGAGGGCTGAGGGAGAAGGGAGATCTGCCTGTACAGCAAGGGCAGCTGCAGAGGGAGCTTGGAAGGTGTCCGTTTTTAAGGCTGATAAGAAGTGACTCCAGAATTAACATGAAGAAATAGCTACTGGGGCCCATCCCCCCCCCAGCTCCCCGTCCCCATTTCTTCACTCCTGGTTTGCCCGGACCCTCCACTGCCCACTCCTCTCTGGAGTTCTGACTCCCTTCACCTCCCCGTCATGGAACGTACCCTGCTCTCAACGCAGGGGCCCCTGCCAAGGAGGGCACAGTGTGCAGACCACAGATAAAGTCCAAGAAGGGTGACCGTCCTCCCCGGGGAGGGGCTGAGGCACAAATTCACGAGCAAGAATTCTGCTGACACTTGTGTTCTAAGGGCTCCTGCGTTTAAACAGCTCGACGTTAAAATGCGTGGCCACGATTAGGATCACACGTCCAAGTCGATTCTTTTCTGTCAGAGGGGAGGACGGACTCCCAAACAAACATCAACTCAAGGGTTAACTTTCCCGAGGATGCATCCGGCTCACCAGCTACGGGGGAGGCGGGAAGCGGGAGAACACGGACAACATGGGGACTTTCTAACTGCCCTCCCCACCAGTCTGACACAGCCCCTCACAGGCCCAGCGGGGAATGTCCATCAGGCGAGAGTGGACAGAAAAGGCCGAAATGGGAGGGCACGTCCACAGCCCCTTTGCTTTTGGACAAAATTCGCTCCAGAAATCTTGCTCATACTTTTCCAAAACGTTGTCAGACTTTAATGTTTTAGATTATATATGCCATAATTGTGCCAAATTCTCCTCCGTCAAGCATTTTTACAAGTCTTAACTTCTGTGTGATTCTGTATTGTTACCACTTTAATGTGATTCTAAGTTCTGTGTCCTTGTCAGTTGGCCGTGTTTCAGGAATTGTTTCATTTTTGTTTCTTCTTCTGAGAGTGGTAACTAGTTCTTTTAAGTATAGGTGTAGAAGTCTTTTTCAAACGTGTTTCAACAGAAAGGCTGCAAAGGCAAGAAGAGTTTAGGGCTCTACTGCCACCCTGTGGCCGCTTTAGCAAACCAACAAGGGGGGGAAGCAGGGAGCAATGCAGGGAGCGAAGATGGGGCGGTTTTCCCGCGCAGCTGTTTCAGGTTTGTCTCTGCGGGCACTCCCGTGGTGCTGTGTCCGCAGAACCAGAGGAACCTGGGGGGAGGACATAAGTGGGCGCCTGCAGGGAAGCGAAGGTCCCGGCTTGCCCCTGCCAATCCCTGCAGACCACTGAACTCACCATCTTGCAACAAGGTCAGAAAAGGTCTGGTGACAAAACTTGTTCCTAGTCCCTGAAATGCCACAAGCCCCTTCCACACATCTCTGGCAGGTGCCAAGTGCTTGAAGCCATCAAATGTGGTTGGGATGTAGCTGATTTTCACTCACACCCTCCTGTCTCCCTCACTGTTATCGCCGTTTTGATCACTCTTACGGATCATACCATTTGAAACCAGAAAGGTTGTAAAGACCAGCCCGCCCAACCCACTGACTGTACAGAGGATGAGCAGAGCCCCCCACCCCACCTCCAACCCCCACCCCCACCCCCCTGCCAGCCCCCGAGTTGCTGGTATAACAGGTGTAAGCATTAAGGTCATGCTGTTTCCCCTCCGCACGTGGGCAGCCAGCGGAGAGCCCCTGCGTACGTAGTATAGGTGGGAACAGGACGGATGGGTCTGGAATTCAGGGGGGCCATGCTTAATCTAGGCTGCACACTGCAGTCATGGCACTGGGGGGGGGGCAGTTACTAACAGTGACACCTGACTCCCACCCCCAGGGATTCTGATTGAATCAGGGCTGCAACATGGCCTGTGCATTTTTGACCTCTAGAGGTCCCTGAGGGTTCTAAGTGTAGCAGGTCCAAAAAACCCCTGCTTCCAGCCCATCCTGCTGAGCCTCTGGGGCCAGGGCTGCTGTCCCGGGAAGACCTGACCTGGCTGGAAGCGGGTGAAATCCAGCAAGAGTCTCGATTGCGCTCCTGATGTTTGCAACGGAATATGAGCACTGTCTTCCCGCCGGCTGGTCTTTAAAGCATGTGAAGGGAGTTCACTGGCAATATAAAATATCTGTATTGGAGCCTCTACGTATTTCCTGTTCATGGCTGGGTTTGGATTATGCTTTGACTCGCTTGTTCCAAGTGAACTATCGAAAAAGTGGGGTGTCTGGTGCCCGTGCTGAGCTTGTGGGTTCAAATTCCAGAGGGCATCTCTTTTGCAGAAAAGGGGGTACTGTGGGGGATGCTTTACCAGTGAATACAGATCTCGCCTATGTTGGTGAACAGATTCCTCCCCCCCACCACTTTCTCCTTCCCCCGGGGAACCATCCCTTCGATTCTGTCCCATAAAACACTTGCCCTAACAAGTTGGAAAAGTCTGGAAGTCTGTGTCAGCCCTGAAGAAGGCAACGATAATTCTGTAGTTAATTTTTACCTCTTAGTTACAATTAATATTCAATATTATATTAGTTTCTAGTAAACCAAGTAGGGGTTAGACATTTATAAAACTTCCAAAGTGATGCCCCAGGTAAGTCTAGTGCCCTCTGACACTGTACATCGTTACGACGATATTATTGATTCTATTCCCTGTGTTGTTCTTTGGACCCCCTTCACTGTTTTGTAGGTGTCGACTGTATTTCTTAGTCCCTTCACCTTCTCCACCAGCCCTCTGGTGCCCTGAATACAGGAAGAAGATGCAGCACGCATACGGTGGAATATCACTCAGCCATTAAAAAAAGAATGGGGTCTTACGGTTGTGACGGCATGGATGGACCTAGAGGGTGTTGAGCTGAGTGAAACAGGTTGGACAGAGAAAGACAAACAGCCTGTGATTTCGCTCATAAGTGGAACCCAAAATCAAAATAAACGAACCAACAAGACCGAAGCGAACTCACAGACGCAGAGAACCAACTCTGTGCCCTGTGTTTTCTTTGAACGTGTGGTTCATCACCTGCAGGTGTGGCTCCTGGGCAAGACCCCGCTGTGGGGGGACCTTCCACTGCTCCACCTCACCTGCCAGGACTGGGGGGGCACTGTCACCGTGACTGTGATGTGAACATTGATCAGCGGGTTCAGGGGCTGTCAGATCAGTTACAGAGTCCCCATCAGCCTCTGATGGTCATTCAAGAGCCACTGCCGGGGACACAAATCAGAGAGGCCACCTGCCTACCGTGCAATCTAGGCCAGTCAGTCACCTCCTGGACCTCAGAAATAATGACCGTGACAGGGCCCCACCATGGCTGCCAGCGGCCTGGAGAGAAGACTCGTGACCACCCCGGGGTGGGAGAGGTCACAACACCGAGCCAGCCTGGGTCACGCCTTTCCTGCAGCCAGATGCTCCGCCGTCCTCCTCTCCTGTGACTGACCGCAGGAATCTCACGGCGCCCCCCTCACGGCCAGGTGAGCCGGAGCCCATCTCTGCCGCTTGCTCCCACGGCACCTTCACCAACGCACCTGCCTGGTCCCCACACCTGCCACCTGCTCCACGCACCTGCCTGGTCCCCGCACCTGCCACCTGCTCCTCGAGGAGCACTTCTCCCCTCCCCACTTTCAACTGCCCCTTTCTTTGTCCAGGGACTTGTTCACCGGCTGTTGTGGGCTGAATGTTCGTGACCCCTAAACTCCATATGTTGAAATGCTGACCCCCAGGGGGACGGTGTTGGGAGGGGAGGCCTTTGGGAGGTGCTCAGGTCTGAGGGCGGAGCCCTCACCGGTGGGATCAGTGTCCTTAGGAAACAAAGCAGACACAAGCGCTGCCCTCTCTGCTCTGCCCGTGTGAGGACGCAGGGAGAAGACGGTCACCTGCAAACCAGGGGGCAGGCTCCTGCCGGACACTGGATCTGCCAGCACCTCGATCTTGGACCCCAGGCTCCAGGTCTGCGAGGGATGGATGTCTGTTGTTCGGCCACCCAGCCCATTGTAATCGGCTGTAGC